CTCTTCAAGCCTCGCCTCCCTTAGCGTGGTCGTTGCCCTTTCGGATTCCTGCTCTGATCGAAGGACACGGATAGTGTCCTCCAACGCTGCCGCCCTTGTTGAAGCCGAAGCCCGAGCATTCTCGGCGTTCTCCAACTGGGACATTTTCCTCTCCAGCTCGGCCAACTTCCCCATCCATTCTGCACTCAGAGCTTCGACTCTGACGGCATTCTGATCAAGCTCGGATTGCAATGATAGCACTTTCGCCTGGAGATACTCACACTCTGCAACGACCCCCTTTCCCAACTCAAGTTCTTCGTCCTTTGCACGAAGTAGCTCCTCGAGCTCACTACACCTGCGGATGGACTGCATCAGCTCCTGATCCCTTTTCTCCAGCTCCTCTCCGAGAGATTGATTGACAGTGCTCGCCCTGAGCCGCTCATGCATCTCACGACATTTGTTGCGATAGCGCCGATATTTTTCCAGCATCCTCAAAAAAATCTTGGCCCGGGTCTCAGCCCTACGAGCACTTTTGATCTCCAGCATGTAAGACTAAAAGCAAAATAAAAATAATAACAATAATAATAATAATAATAACAATAATAATAATAATAATAATAATAATAATAATAATCAATGAAGGCCAAGGCTGCAAAAAGGGGACGAAGAAAAAACATAGAAGAAACTTACTCTCAAACCCATCGCGGCCACTGCCTGCGATAATTCAACGTCACTGACATCCCGAAGAGCCTCACACTCTGCGGCAGAGCATAGAAGGTCGAACTGTAGCACTAGACCCTCCGTGTCTCGCAGGAGATTGACATCCGATGGAATCTCAAGTATTCGGGAAGGACCTCCCGCTCTTACCACAGTACGGGTAAAGCCCTCCTCGAACATCCTAACATCGTCAGGATCGAGGTCGGAGTCAGACTCGTAATCATCAACGACGACACCTTTTCCCCTCTGTGCAGCTGAAGAAGAAGCGCGGTTCGGACCGGATGACGATGGGGCGCCCAAGACGGCAACAACAGCTTCAAGACTTCGTCTGTCCATCGCAATAGCCTGTTGATCACTCACAAAGGCCGGAGCCTCTGCCACCGGGTTTGCCTCTATGACCGGGTTGGCACCACTGCCAATTTCAGACGCCGCCAAGATAGGGTCGCCCCCCGAAGATGCTTCGGTTGGAGGAGCCCTTTCTAACTCCACTCGCCGTCTTTTCGACGGGCCCTTCCCGCCACCAGCATGGGAAGATTTGTCCGTTGAGCGGACGACAGAAGCCGAAGTCTTAGATTGAGGAGTAACTTCCACACCAACGGCCCTGGCCGCAGGTGCCGATTGAGTTCTCGGCGTGGGCCGGGCAGCGAACCTCGACGTGGGCTAGGTAGGAGGCGTCGATTGACGGAATGCGAGCGGAGGAGCCCTCGCCCTTCGCACTCTCCCTGTCCGCGAAGAAAAATAACCATATAACGACGAGATCAAACTACGAAGAAAAAGCAAAGAAACTGTAGTGGGCCGACTCACTGAGAGGCTTACGCCCGTATTTCTCATAGAAGGACGCCCACTCGTGGACCCCCACTATATGGGGAAGAATGGCGTTTACCCACTCGCGGATGTCGTCAATTGGCGGGGGAGGCAGTCTCTCGGCTGCGAAAGCAAAAACAAATTAGCAATGCCACCTAAAAAAGAACGGTCGGCCACCGCCTCGAAAGGAATCACAAAGTAAACAGAGGAAAACTTACGTGCAAAGTTCCACCTCTCAGGGAACCCCGCAGGGTCCGCTACAAGGTGCTCAGTCCGCACGTAAAAATAGTTTTTCCAGAAGCGGAGATTAGCCTTATCGTCCATCTTCACCACCAAACTCTTTGTTCCTCGATGGCGCATATGGATCATCATGCCTCGAATAAGTTGAGGGGCAAAAATATTAAGCATGTGCCCCAAAGTGATCTCTTGACCGGCGAGCTCCGCGTACTTGAGAAGCATGAGGAAGAGTTTGTACACGTACGGTGAAAGTTGAGCCGGACACACTTCATAGTCACTAGGGAGGGGAGAGGAAGCGTATACCCAACAACAAAAGGGTACGCATAGAATGCATAGTACCCTGGGAGGTCCAAATGTACGATGTCCGCCCCCATCGTCGGCACCATCTCGATGTGGTTTGGAATTCCCCACTTGGTCTTGAGCGCCGCAATCGCCGTTCATCCATGGTAGAGGGTGCAGGATCCAGTTCTTCTCCGGCGGGGCTGTTGACGTCAGTCTATAATTTCCCCAGACGAGGCAATATCTTGGCCGCTGTTGGAACTCCCTCATCTTCCGTCGCCTCCACCCCCTCTCCGAGAAGAGGTGCGTCATTTTCCGGCACCGGAGCTTCGACGAACCTATCAGTCTAGGAAGAAATACCGGCCATCTGTTTGTACTGATCTGAATAAACAAGTATGAAGAAGGAAGAGAGAGGATTGCAGCATCTGATTCTGACAAAAGCATAAGTATGAGATCAGAAGTATGAAATGGTGAGGAAGGTGGAGGTTTGCGAAATTCCTCAGATTGAATCGATAAACGTAATGATCGAATGGTGGTTTCCCCCTATATATAGGAACATAAATGTCCCGAGCGGGAAACCCAAGAGCCGTCAATCAAAAACTGATAGGGCACGGAAAACGATATGGTACCTAGGAAACGTGTGCCATAATGATACACGGTGGGTATTCACGACGCATCGAATCGATGCAACGATTCAGCTCCGAACTGACATAGCGGTCCGACGGTACCGTTGAAGCATCACATCGCCATCTCGACCTAAGGATCTCGTCCAGCGTGTAACATTCAGATTTCTCCTAACTTTTGAATCGACAAAGTCCGTCCGTTGAGCCCGCTAAGAGGCGACCTCGACGGACAGAGGGACTAACTATATGGGTCAAAATTTGACTGGGAATGATCGTCCTTAAGTGGGGTGATAAGAGGCCGACCAAGCCCTAATCATGTCCACGGGGCGAGGCAGCAAAGAGCACCTCGACCATCGTCGGTGTAAAAACGGCGAAAGGCTTACGTCATAGGAAATATGTTATGACCAAGCAAACAATGAAGTGCACAGTCGTCAGAAAGTATGTTGGTCAAAAACCATTGGATAAAAGGAATTTTAATATATATATATATATATATATATATATATATATATATATATATATATATATATATATATATATATATATAGGAGGGGTGGAACCCAGAGAAAGGGGGGATTGGGTCGAGACAGCTACCATGGAAGAGCCAAGAAGAAGAATCTCTTCATCATCAACGGTTTCCTCTCTTCTCCTTCCTTGCTCCCATGAGTATGACACAAGTCTGCCTAGATGTAAGCTCATCCCTCATGTTTGATGTACAAATATTACATGAAGAAATATTACACGCTATTATTCTTCTTTTATTTTCGCATTCTGTATGTTTAGGTCTGAGATTAATTATGTTTGGCTAAGATGTACCTTCCATAATATTAATAATTAGTTCGACAAAAAGGGTTTTATACTTTTTTGCTCAAACAACTATTAAACAAAAATTGATGTTGTATGGTAGTAGCTTATTCCAGTAAATCGTTATACACTCTGCATTTTCTGATGAAGATTTTCGATTTTGCAAGTTTTTGTTTATATTCACATTTCTGCTTTAGTTAACTAATTAGAAGCCATTATTCTTTTTCTATTTCCAAATAATTACGTTCTTCGTAACGAAAATTAATCAAGTAATCAATTTGTTCATATTGTTGTATATTAATATCTTTCACTTACAGCTTGTTTAGATGATTGTTACTTGTTGTATTGTATCGTATTGTTATTTTAAATACAATGCTTGTTTTTATTGTTACTTAATTTTATTGTATCGTATCGTTTTAATCAGTCGTTACGTAATGACGGAAAGTGTCACTTTATGAAACGACCGATTTGGTGTGCTAGTGTCGTTTTCTTATTTTTTTCCTCTCATCTTGCCTTTTTTTATTATTAAAGAATCTTGTTTTATCCTTTACCCTACCTTTTTATATAATACTATTACCTCATACCTTACCTTTTCATTATAATATTGCATGTTTGTTCTTCATATTATTGGTACATGACATCATGAAACGACGACAAACAATACAATCTATCCAAACATTATATACATCAAAATGATACAATACAATACATTCTGAAACGATACATAACAACCATCCAAACAAGCTGTTAGTAACGTAACACACCCGTTATGCAAAATTGACAATAATCTGAATATATTTCACAGGTTTTACGAGTTGAACTTCAATAACTATTGCTCTTGGTGTTTTACCTCTATAATTAAAAAAAATGCAATTGAATAATATTTTAAAAATAAACTTGTTAAGGTTTTTCTAGGATTTGTACTACTTAACATACATTTGATATACAATTTGTTATGCATATCTAGCAATAAAAAATAACATCAGTAATTCCACGCATGGTTCTTTAGCAACAAACTTACAGAAGCTCTTTTTTTTTTTTTTTAATTTCTCACCCGGTATCCGGTACCCACACTGGGGCCCGACTAATCCGGATTCGCGCCGGGAAGTCCCACATTGGGGGTAAAGCGCTCCCTTAAAGGCGACTCTATACCCAGGGGCTCGAACTCGAGAACTCTGGTTAAGGATGAAGTAGTACTTACCACCACAACCCTTGTTGGTAACTTACAGAAGCTTCAATATCGCGTGACACCATTTCAAAGTTCTAAGTTTTGATCTAATTTCGTCAAGAAAGGCAAATCTGAACATAATTTTGAGCTAAGATATATTTTACCTATTTTATCATACCTTCCTTCTCTTCAAACTTTCATTATGTACAATCTATATACTTGTAAATAAATTTGAAGTACAAGGACACATGAAAATGTACAAATTGATATACCAACATAATACAATGCATAACTGATATTTTTACTAGTATGTATTCTTCTAATTAGTAATATTTCTAAGTTATTGCTCAATCCTTTGAATCAACAGGAGAGATGGACACACAAGTAGCTGAGTTGCAAATTCAGTATGGAAACAAGTCGATCTGTTCCATTTCATATATGTTTATAAAACCATTCAGTCTATACTCAGACTTTTAACTTCCAGTTTAAGCCACTATGTACACAAAACCTGTATAGAAGTATATTTTTGTAGTGCTGCTATACAGTAAAACTAGAGCTTAGCATCCATGAAAAACATATTAAAGAGGAGGTGTAATGACTTCTATAGACAATTTCACAAAGCTTGAACACTTTTGTCAATGCTGTTGCAGCCACTCCTGAATTGCAGAACGGAGAGCATGGTTGGGAACAAGATTCGTATTCGACAGTGGAAGGTTTGTCATGGGCGAGGTGTCATGTCCGCAGTCCAACCATCCTCTTAACGCTTCTGCTTCGTATGTGAAGCCATCCGCTGCTACTACTGGATCTTGCATAGTTTCCTGTTGGTTCACAGCCAGAAATGAAACACATAAACATCAAAAAATGGCTAGAATTTAACTCATTATGCTTTCTGAAGGGAAGAACAAGGAAAACAAAGAGACTATCTTAACTTCCCAAACTTCATTGAGTTGGATGACAACAACCTCATTGACTGGAGTGTCAAAACACAAACTTGCATGGAAACTTATAAATTATCATAATTTTGCAGAACTGAGAAACAACAGAAAAGGATGTTGATTTCTAGTCAAAAGAAGGGTTCGGGAGGGTGAGGATATGCTAATTTGTCAATGTGCTTACAACAACAACAACAACAACAACAACAAAAAACCCAATGCAATCCCACAAGTGGGGTCTGGGGAGAGTATTGTGTATGCAGGCCTTACCCCTACCTTGAGAAGGTAGAGAGATTGTTTCCGATAGACCCTCGGCATAACATAGAAGAATTTGTCAACGTGCTTCAGATGATATTTTGTAATACAACTGGAACACATACCTCATTTAATCATGTATGATGACTGCTCAATTCAAACTATACGGGATTCATAATGCCATATGATGCTAGATTTAAAACAAGCAATATACTAACCTGAAATATTGGACAAATAAAATAGGATGGAATTTCACAACGCTCTTCAGAACCCATCCTAAAAGATGATGCCCCACATGAAGCTCTCATTGGTTCAAGCACCTTCCACACCTCTGAAGAAAGTTCAGGGCGGAGCCTCCTGTTCTTCTCACAACAATTCATAGCTAAGTGAGCCAACTGCTTGGCTTGCACAAACGGCCAGTCTCCAGCAGTTGGATCCAGCAGATCTTTCAAGTTTCCTTTATCCAATGCATATTGGACTTCATTTTTTATTCCCAATGCAGGCCTCCCAGTCAACAGCCTAAGTAATATAATCCCAAATGAATAGACATCAGACTTTGGAGTAAGCTCTCCTGTATCGAGGAATTCAGGGTCCAAATATGCAAATGTGCCTTTTGGGTCAGTTCTGTAACAAAGTGATGTACTTTTTTCCGAACCTTCGTCTTCTGAGAGAACTCGACAAATTCCAAAGTCACTAAGCTTGCTCACAAAGTTTGCATCGAGCAAGATATTTGCTGGTTTTAGATCTCCATGAATTATGCCCCGAGTGGTGCAGGAATGGAGGAAGATGAGAGCAGAGCAAAGCTCTGATGCAACACGAATTCTAGTTTGCCACGACAGTGGAGGCGTGTTATCCTTGCAGGTAAGACGATCTTCCAGGCTTCCGTTGGGAAGATACTCGTATACAAGAGCCCATGCTTCTGGACACGCTCCTATAAGAGTGACAATATTTGGATGCCTCAACTTGCTTAAAATATTGACCTATATGAGACCAATAAACCATATCATGAATTGCCAAAAAGCTATCTGCGTTAATGAATTATAACTTCGTGGGATATTGATTGAGGGATAAGCATAGCATGAAAAAGCAATATAACAAGGTAAGTAGAGCAGAAAACTGATGAGACAACACACTAGAACACATAAAATTTGGTAGACGTGTAAACCAGTGAGCAGGAAGATATCAGGTGAAGTGACTCTATTGGAGGTTTATGAGTAAACCGAGTCTTACATGGTAACAAAATCTAGCGAAACAAACAAGATAACTGGTATTTTGATATTTCAACATGTAGAAGAGCACTAACCCTTCCGAGATAAACCTATTGGCCTAATCAATATACAACCATTTTTAGCAGATAATCAACCATCTTAAAGAAGACGTGGGAAAGAGCTACATGGCCTAATCAAACCATAAAAAGGATAGTTCTCATCTGGTGAGTGGTAAATGGTGATGATCTAAGTGTAGCTACAATATGTTGGACACAAAATAAACAAGAAAGTATTTTTACTTTCCACTATATCCATCTGCGCTACCACCATCAATAGATATCAAGCCATTGAGCACTGCTGTTCTTTAGTTCTTTTATTTCCCTATTTTAACTTCTTGCCTTGGGGCTTGGCCACCCAAAACAGGGCCATAAAGTAGAATCTGGTCAAAACAAGGGGCACAATTGAGAGGACAAATACCAAGACAACAAAGAAATAGAAAATACACAATAATTTAGGAGAGTAGACACAATTTAGGTTCTTCTATGCACAGAGGCAGAAATTCAGCAAAAACATAACGAATCTAACCTCCTGTTGGAACTCTGAGGGCCCTTGCGAGCTATGAGGGTGCAGCATCTTTATTGCTACATGAGTGTGGCGAAGGAGGCCTCGGTAAATGCTTCCATAACCGCCTTCTCCAATTTTCAAGGCTGGGTCAAAACGCCGAGTTGCTTCTTCGATTTCATGAAAATAAAATTCAGCAAATAATACAGATGCAGATGTAGTCGAGGACCCGTTTGAGTGATGTTCCCTCAGCGCCTCAGCTATATTGAGTGCATCATCACGCTCCACCTGCAGCTCATCTCTCTCCTTCCTGTACTTCTGCAAAAGGTCGACAGCAGAGAACATTTTCTGTTCCAACTCTTGCACCGTTGTGTCAGAATTTAAGAGTTGGCGCTCCAGCGAAGATGCCTGTGCTTGAGCTGCCTGCAGATCTGCCAACATTTTATTTAGCTTTGATTTCATTTGATTAGCTTCTTCCTTGCCTTTTGCAAGTGCTTCCTCTATGTCTCTCCTCTGCCTCAACTCATCGGCGTAGATTGTTTCTGATGCTTTTGCCTGAAATGAAACTATTGCAATAAGAATCTCCCCCTTAATAGCACAGATACTTACAAAAACAATCTCCTTTTTAAAAAGTGGCAGTTTAGGTCTTACTGTCTTAAATCTCAATCAAACTTAAGCTTCTCATCAATCAACAGATGGGAAATTTGGCGCAAATGAGTAATCGTCGCAAACAACCAAGAGAAACCAAATTGTAGTTCCATAACATTCAACTATCCGAAGTAAAATTTAAATGAACAAATTTACCCTTCGTCTAGCCTCGACTGCATCCTTCTCTGCTTTCCTACGCTTGATTGATTCTTCAAAAGCTTCTCGCCTTGCATCTTCTGCCTCCGCGACATACTGCTCAAGTCTATCCAATAGTTCATCATTCATGCTTCCAGCTGGCTCATCATTTAAACTCTTTACCTGCTATTTTCCCCCAATCATCAAAACATTTAAGAAGCATATTAGATCTAATTCTTCAAACATAAACATTCACATTACATTAGGAAACAAGAAATGAAGGTATTGCTTATAATTAAGTAATTTAAAGAGACAAAAGGAAATAACATGATTTACTTACTATACTTGGAGAAGATGGCTGATGATGACCAAGAATGAAGTGGTGCAGTGCGGATGAGTCAATTGCAGTCTCATTCCCTTCAGTTGTTGCAAGGGAAATTGTAGGTGAATCACCAACCATTTCACCATATGAACTTGATGAAAACCGTGAAGCCACTGAGGGACTTCTATCTGAACTCATGCTTGGAAAATTAGCCCGTAAAGTCCCACCAGAGGAAAGTCCAGAGAAGATTATCCTGTGATTGTCAGAAGCAGCTCTCCGATATTCGGTGAAAGGTCCCCTGAGCTCTACTTGTTCGTTGTAACCCTCTGTAACAGATCTTGATCTTAGAACAGTATCATTTTCTGGACTTAATGGAATTGACGGTGACACGCTGTCCGTATTAGGTTTCTCTGACTTACTTTCCCTGCATGACATAATATAGTTACTATTTAGAGTTCCACATGTTTTTTAAGTGAAGTAAGAGATGAACTCTACCCTACCCCCACGTCTCACGCATCCCAATCCCAAGGAAAGTCAACCTTAGGGGAGAAACGATAGAAATAAAAAGCCATAGCAAAATGATATTTATAAGAAAACAGAGAAGTAATCCCCATGTGCCCACCACATTTCATCCAAAACAAAGCTTCAAGATAGTAACAGGAATGACAGGATGCATACCTTGAATAAATGAGGTTCCTTGAATAAATGAGGTTCCCTTTGCATACAAACCAGATGCAACAGAATGTAGGTGCTTGTAACCGCACATAGATGGCTTTCTTCGACCTAAGGTCAGTCATTTTCCTGAAATTTCATCATAAGAGCTCAATTCCCAGCTTAGTGTGTTACACAATAAATTGACGTAGATTCCCCCTAACCCAACCCACACCACCCCCTCCCCGGAAAAAAAGAAGAAAGAGGCACTAAATTGTCAGACATTATTTATTTGATAACGGAAAAACATTGAGTAGTGCTGCTAGGACTTCTTTTCGTTGCTTCAGTGGTTTTAAGTTCTCCTTTTTCCTTTGGGATTTATGTTGGGTGATAGAGGTGGGAGGGAACGGGGCAGAAGGACATTATCCTATTTCTCCTGAAAACAGCAGTGCTGATAAGTGTTTAGATGCACAGAGGAACCTTACAAAAATGATGGGCCAAGAAGTAAATGAAAGTCAATTTTATTTGCCGTTGCTGAAGAAAAGGAAAGTAACTGAAAAAAGATGAAGGGAAAAAAACAAGCAAAAGATCAGCGTGGTAAACAAATAAAATGAACTATGTCACCACAGACCATAAGATTCTAGCAGAAGAGGCTACATTATGACACGTCGGCATGCATGAGAAGAATATTTCCTGTTTCAACTTTCTTGCATTAAATAGTAATCATTCCAGCGGTCCATTAACCCCCATGCACTGAAAAATTTAAACACAGAGAACTACAAGGAACCTTAGGTTGACCACCAAGTATGTTACCATCACGTTTCACATATCTTTCTTAGATAATACAGCCATCAAATGAAGTTTGTCAAAGAAGAAAGAGATCAGTATTTTCCCTGATGTGAGTGACTTAAGTGACTTTTTCCCAAATATTCAACCGACATCAACTTTATTAAGGTTAGTATTCTGTATTTGAAGTGAGAATTAGAAGTAGGATGAAAGTAAGGAGTCAGTTAATGGACTAGACACGCATGATGGAGGACGGGAGGAGATGGGAGAAGGATCCATCAAGTCATTTCTTGTTTCTTCTGTTGCTTGAAGTCTTAGCCCAAACAAGACTACCAAGATATCCAGTTGCCCACTCAATATTTATTGTTAGTGGCATTCAAGTAACAGAGAAAGTTTATCTTATTTTTACTTTGAATAGCACTTGTTTGCCGCAGCTCCCATAACAAGCTTCCTTATACCACGCTGCGTTACAAGCTCGACTATGCCCTTCTCAATTGAATCCATTTCAGCAACTAGTTTATCAGCTCGAACCTGAAATAAGATAGAGGCATAATAGAGGAAGTACAAAGCATCAGTTCAATCGAGAGTATAATAAAGGAATATGGAAGTGTAGACTTTCTTATGATAATTAACGGTGTGCGGACTGAAGCTCCGAGTTGAACATGTGGTGCATTTATTATTATATCTGAAAAAGGTAATCCGGATTATAAGTTTTACTTAATAATCATCCACGCACAATATGGAGAACATGGGGTAAGGGAGAACTTCCATAATGGTTGCCACTTGCCAGCCAAAAAGATATTCAATGTATTTAATATGCTTCCAATAAGGCTCTCAAATTACATGCAAACAAAATGTTTTCTGCTTGCATAATCACCAATATCACGTTCTGCAAAAGACAAAAACCATACCCCAGCTCGTCCACAAATCAGAATGTATTTTTCCAAAATCTTGTGCATGTCTTGCCTTTCCTTCTCATGGTATGCTCTGACTTGATGCACATCCAACTGATCTATGTTAAACTTTGTACCCACTGCAAAAACCATCCAAGAGAAAATGGACACACTTTCAAACAATAATTGTGATGAGACTAACCATCATTCCTATTTAAAGAAGTTAGATGAAGTTACAGAGAAAAATGACATCTCAATTCTATTTCTTTTGTACAGAAAATGGGGTGCGGGTACTTAAATTCTGGGAATCATTACGGAAGCAGAAAAAACATCTCATAGTTAGGTAAGAATTAATTCCCATTCATGAACAATTTGTCTGAAAACTCAACACTAATAGCGTTTTCGAAAATTACAAATGAATGAGTGAGAAAAGTTAACGAAAACTGTAATTGCAAAAGTAATTTTGTTTTATTCTTTTCTGTTTCTTTGAGAGGTGGGTTGGGCTTGGTTTCATGGAGCTATAAGTGAAAGCGCATTAACTACCAAGAGGAATAAAAACTTTTGATAAGTTGTGACCAAATATCCCATTTCCTCTTCTCTTTAAATTAACAAGCAAGCAAGAAACTAACTTCCACTCCCTCTACCCAACCACCCCCCACCCAACCACCCCCCACCCCTCAAATGAAAAAAATAAAGAAAGAAAGAAAGTCTGTGTGAAATTATTCAACACTACATCATTAGTCTTGAGCCTCATTAGGGAAATAGAAGGGATTGATAAGCTTAATTCCAGGAACAACTGCAGAAGAAATAGTAGCGTTCTCAAGTTTGAAAGCTTTAAAGAACTGTAAATTAAGAACTAACCTTCCCTTAGCTGATTTTTGGGCACAAAAAATTCTTCAAAAGTAGTTCATTAGGTAGGTATGTTCACTAAAGAATGAAAAAACAGACCTATCATAAAACTCAAGAGTCAAACTAGAGAATAACAACCAACTTTCTCCAGCATAACTAGCAGCTGATGCTAATCAAGTATACAAGTCCAACTAATTTATACCTCAACTATCAGTAAAATACCAATAATGAAATAAACCACCATCTGACTTTGTAAGTCTAAAACATCAGAAAGCCAGAAAAAAAGAAGCAAGACAGTTCAACAAATCAAACTAACTCAACAAACCACCTTTTGCAAATTACCTTATAGCAAGCCAGATTAAAAATAAATAAATCAAAACTTGAGCACCAAGAATCATATCAATTTGGAAAAAATAAAAAGGACACAAAAAAAAGAAGAGTTAATTACTCATGGGTATCTTCTGAGCTGGAGTATGAACATGAAGAATGCAAATTCTCCTTCCACCGGATTTGTGCAAAGCCCACTTCAGAGCAGGTTCACTCTCCTTCAAGTCTTTCCCGACGGCGACATATATCATATCGTCGGCGACTCTCGCCGGCGGCGTTAATGGACTTTCAATTTCCTCATTCAAATTCAGACCCGACAAATTAACTTCCGGGTACCTTACCGGACTCTGTCGGATTTCGGGTACTGGACTCTCCAGCGCCATGGGGGCAAATAGACAATCTAATTCTCTCTGTATACACACAATTACACGTACAACACACAACGGTTTTGAGTTACTGTAATGAATGAAAAAACCCTTGTCTTTCCTGGAATTTTATAGGAGTTGGATTGGTCATTTGCTCTAAGAGGCGATGAAATTGAGGAGGACACAAAATGGAGTAGCAATAAAAGTCTACGGACTTTTAGATTATATAGTGAAAAGAGATTGCTTGTCTGGAGTATTTAGCAGTATATGGACTACGGTGTTAAAATTAAGCTGATAATTAATTTTTACAACTAATTTACCAACTTATGATCATTGGTCAACTTTTCTCTCTCTCCATTTTTGTACAGTTGTTTATCGTACTCTTTGTCTGTATCCTCTCTTCTTCCTTAAAACCGAAGCTTCTCCGTGCATTTTGTGGAACAATTTTATTTTATTTCGAACTGATTTAATTAATTAGTTAGTAAGATGTGCATTGTCGATTTGTCATCATCTCATTGGTTGGAGGTCCTCAAAGTCCAAAGAATGAAAGAATAGACATTTGCTTTTTTTTTTTTTTTTTTAATTTCCTTTCTTTTTTGGTTGTTTTAAGTTTGCAAATAGAAAAGGAGCATAGATTATAGAAGGTTTCTCATATATTTGCTCCGAGTTTTTATTTTTCTTGTATATTTTTATTATGATTTGGTTTGTAAATTTGTATAGTATCTTTGGTTAATGAAAGGGGCTCATTCTAAAAAAATTGAAATATTTCTCTTTCTATATAGTTATTTGTTTATTGAGCTCAGCGCGATATCATAAATAGAAGAATTGGTACGGAATTCTTTTTTCTTTTTTTAGTGAAATGAAATAAACTAAAGGTAAATGTTTGAAAGCAAATTTCAATATTTGAAATCTTATAGTAATAATTAAGGAGTAATACATAATTTCAAGAAATTTCTCGTATAGTACTAAAAGACCTAGTTTAATTAATTTATTGTTATTTTTGTACCAAAATATATTTATTAGTCTGATTATTAATAAAGCCCTCCATTTAAAAAGGAAAAAAGGGGGCACGTCGCCTAGTTTCAAGATGTGTTACGTGCATGTAAAGGTTCTATGAAACAAACCCGAAATTCCTCACTATATAATAAGAAAGGGAATCACTAATTACAACCTTGAGATACCAATTGCAACACTCAAACTACTGCAATGGAAACTAAGTAACTACGAATAGAGATAAGAATAGGGATAAGAAGAAGAATTTAGAGAAAGGGGATGAGGTAGAGATTCAGAAGAGGAGATGAGAAGCACGGTCTTGAGCCAAAGCTGTAACATAATTCCTATCCTCTGTATTCCCCCTGGATCCCAAATATAATGTCCTAGCACTTTATTTGGTTGTTTAGTCATTGGGCCTCTTCTCAATTTAGCTCCAGGCCCAATACTCCCAAGTGGATCAGCTTTGTTGCACACTTCTAGCCCATTATCCCATACTGAGTCACGCAGGTTCACAACAGTACCTCCTGCCTTAAAAAGAACCTTGTCCTCAAGGTTCGAGTAAAGTAGAAAATGCAGCAATATCCGCTTGACCTTGTCAACAGCAAACAGTAAATGCAAAGCAACAGTAGGATAGTTGGTTTTCTCTTCCCATAGCTCCGCCTGACCTCTAGGTAGTAGAAGCATAACAGTACAACAATTTGGATCACCATTCAATGAGATCAATCTAGCTAAGTGTGAAGTTGCACCATGTATTTTGTCTTGAAGTAGAAACAATGTTATCCAATCAAAGGAGCCCTCAAACTTCAAAAAACTAGCCTGCATGAGTTGCAGAACTTTAACTTCTGAAAGTTTTGAAGCAAGCCGAGCCAATCCAAATTTTATTCTTTTATAAGTGATTATTCCACTATTGTTTGTAGCCATGCTCGCGAACACATATTTTAGATACTTGATTTCTTCTTCTGAAAAATCTACTGCAATGACCTTTATCGCTGGTTTCATGAGATTGCCTATTACCCGGAACTGCTTCAGTTTGGACAGCACTATATGGTCTATTGGCTTGTCTGCTGCTTCCTCCCATTGAAGCCATGGTTGTTCAATAACTTTTGCGGAAGTACTTCTCTGTTTCGTATCCTCTAGTAGCATTGTTGGAACTAGGTCCTTTGCATTATTTGTTATGGATGGCCATGGACTAAGAAGAAAGTCATTTACTCCATCGATGAAGATATGAAGTCCAAATATAGTCGCCTGCGTTGCATATTCATCCTTGCTAACCAGCAGGGAACTCTCTAGCTTAAGCTCCTTATGCATAACAACCATGAAATGGCCATTGTGGACTACATTGGGAGCTGTCTAAAACTATCAGCATGTTCTTTCTCTAATGAACATCCTCGGGTGATGGTTCCATCAAATAACTTCCCTCCAGCACACAGTACCATTGGAAGGTGCATATAACACTTGTCCTTACAAAATGATGTAGGCAAAATAGTCGAGCGATTTAGTACTATGCAACTCGAAAATAAACACTGAAAATTCTGTTGCAAATACTGCTTTAACACGAACTCTTCCAACCAAGTTGGGTTTGTAGACTCAACCGACAAGATATCATCAGGAACATACGTCTCAATATCAAGGACCTCATTAGCCAATATGAACTTTTTATCACGTGGCAGAATAGACACATGCCTAAGAAAATGAATCACTCATGACTCCTTATGTGAAATTGGACTTAGCATAAATCTATTTGGAACCCTCTGAGGAATGTTGGCAAATGCTAAGACTACACTGGTTCGTGATTTTTCCTCCTCCACAATAGTAGTTCCACTTCGGATTTCCACATTCCAATAGAAACCAAAAGGAAACCACTAAGGAATTGAAATTACTGAGTGAACTTTCTAACAACTCAGTAGCTATCTCAAAATTATCCGCAAAGCTAAAAACACCAGAATGTAGTGTAATGGGCAAGTACCGTGATTTATCCAAATGTACATTCAAGTGCTCAAATAAAATATGTAGAGGAACAGACTCACCGGGATCAAATGGTAGGTATATAGATAAATGCTCATGAATCAATTTGCTTCCATCCAAAATCAAGAGGCCATTCCTGACCCCGGGTGATTCGACCACTTCATTGTCAACCAAAGGTTGATCGGAATGGTGCGGAAAATTATCAACCGACTGACTCGCATCAATTCTAGAGTGCTTGTTATCTTCATATGTAACTATGCTACCTTCTCCATTGCCAATGATAAAAGGAAGTCTATATGCATGGATAATGAGATGGGTATTTACACAATCTTTACTCTCTGACTCCAGCTCTTTGCTGAGAACAGGACAAATAATCTCAAAGTCATCTGCCATAGGTGAGAACTCTTGAGAAGTTTGCCCAGCTCCTTGACAAAAATTATCAAACACCTCGCCTGCGTGTGTTGCTGAGGATCCCTTAATTAGATCGATACTCGCCGAAATAAGAACTTCAGAAACGGGCGTAGATTCCACAAGAGAGGTACTAACCTCATCTCTGTGAGAGCTTTCATCAAACACCTGTACCTCCTCTGATGTTGCATCTTTTAAGTCAGACTCGGGCTCTTTGGTAACAACTTTTATTGAAGATCGCTCAGTAGCAAACACCTTGGAACCACAGCAGCCATGTGACATTTTGGCGAACACCTGGGCTTCACTATTTGTGAAATATTCCCTAATTGTAGCCACGTGACCTTCCGGCGATTCGAGATGCAGTTTACCAAAACGAATCCGTACGTTTTCAACAAAATGTTCCCAATCCGACAATTGCTTGTTCCGAAAAAGCCATCGGAACCACTCCAACGCCTCACCATCTAGGTACAAAGAAGCACGCAATAACTTGTTGTTTTCCGATGTGCCATGGAATTCAAAGTAGCGTTCAGCCTGAGAAATCCATAACTCTGGATCCTTGCCACAGAATCATCGGAATTCCACAGGAGTAGGCTTGCTCGTTGCAAGGTTTTCAACCAATCCATGTAACAAGGAACGAATTTCAGCAATATCCTTCGACCATGAATCCTTCACGACCTTAATTGAATCATCGATAGTTCGAATTATTTGGCCCTCCATAGAAGACCTCTGGATGAAAGCACCAATGAAACAAACCCGAAATTCCTCACTATATAATAAGAAAGGGAATCACTAATTACAACCTTGAGATACCAATTGCAACACTCAAACTACTGTAATGGAAACTAAGTAACTACGAATAGAGATAAGAATAGGGATGAGAAGAAGAACTTAGAGAAAGGGGATGAGGTAGAGATTCAGAAGAGGAGATGAGAAGCACAGTTTTGAGCCAAAGCTGTAACATAATTCCTATCCTCTGTATTCCCCCGGATCCCAAATATAATGTCCTAGCACTTTATTTTGGTTGTTTAGTCATTGGGCCTCTTCTCAATTTAGCTCCAGGCCCAATACTCCCAAGTGGATCAGCTCTGTTGCACACTTCTAGCCCATTATCCCATACTAGTCACGCAGGTTCACAACATTCTATTTATTCGTAAGAAAGGATTCTTCGTCAAGTAAATTTAAGAAATACAAAAACACTTACATGAACCCGGGTTAGGGCAAGGAAAATCTTGATACTCTTTTCATATATTTCATTTCATAAATATTTACGTGTAAATTTACGAAAAAACTTGCAATAACTCACTCAAACAAACCCCAAATGGTCAACATGAGAAGGAAGGAGTAGCATTTATTCTGAAATAAAATATTGATAGATTCTTCATAATCATATAATCTAGTTACAGCTCAATTTAATATTTATTTTTTCCTTTTTTGGTTGTTTAAATTTGCGAATAGAAAAGGAGCATAGATTACATAAGGTCTCTGATATATTTGCTTGGAGTTCTTATTTTTCTTGTATATTTTTATTATGGTTTGGTTTGTATAGTATCTTTGTTTAATGAAAGGCGTTGATCCTAAAAAAAATTATTTATCCTTTTATATAGTTATTTGTTTACTTAGCTTAACACGAAATCATAAATATAATAAATTGGTACTGATTTTTCTTCTCCTTTTTTAGTAAAATAAAATAAAACCAGAGATAAATGTTTGAAAGCAAATTTCAATATTCGAAATCTAATAGTAATAGTTAAGGAGTAACATATAGTATTTCAAGAAATTTCTCGCATAGTACTGAAAGACCTAGTATTTTTGTACCAAAATATATTTATTAGTGTGATCATTAATAAAGCCCTCCATTTAGAAAGGAAAAGAAAGGGTACGTCGCCTAGTTTCATGACGTGTTACGTGCATGTAAAGGTTGTATTTATCCGCAAGAAAGGATTATTCGTCAACTAAATTTAGAAAATACGGAAACACTTACATGAACCCGAGTTAGGGCAAGGAAAATCTTGATATTC